CCATTTGTTTTTAACTACCCACCCTGGCTGAACTGCCTACTGAGAGACCTGAAACAAGCACTGACAGGATTTTACATTTTCCAGACATAACAGTTTTTCTAGGTCAAGAACCTCCTAGATAATAAAGCCAAGGTTAGGATGACTAGAACCTGCACCTTCAAAAGCAAGTGAGAAATGGTGATGCCCATAATTCATTGCAAATACATTTCTATAGTGAATGCACTCCAATATTGCACCTGCAGATGCTCATACTTACCTGCCATTCATGTCCCCACCACTTCATTTGTCCATAGGAGCAAGAAATAGTGAGCCGGATAAACTGCAAGTTACAAGCTAGAGCATACACATGGCTGAGGACATTGCCCTATTATGCTGGATTCTTAAATGGTCAACCACATGTTCCACCAGACCCTCACGCAATTTGTCGCTCTTCACTTTCCTGAGCATGAAAAGCAAGTATTGACAGTTTAGAAGACCTGCTTGGGCACAGCACGTGTTCACTTGAAGCCAAATACATGTAAATATCTAAAATATATGTAAAACAAAAAACACGTTTGAATCCCTACTAATTCCTTAGAAAACCCACATTAATCTTGGCAAGAATTTCTATGGAGTAAACAACCGTTCAAAGCTTAGAGTCTGTGCTGCTAGAATTCTTTAGTAACTGCTCATTTTATACAGAAATTCTTCCCTGGATTTCACGCCATGCCATTAAGAAAATAGGAATCAAGAAATGGTGCCCACCAACAGTTTAAATCACTCAGTAATCACCTACACATGACCATTCTGATCAATATGATATTGTGAAATAGGATAGGGAAATAATCAAACATTATAGATCGCCTCTCTTGTTCACTCCTGCAAAGTCTCTTGAAATCTCTTTGTCTTATTCAGTAGCAAAATGTAAGATTTTTTATGTAAAACTATTAATATAAAACATTTTGTGTTGAAAGTCAATCAGGGAGCATTTTACTGACCACAAAAGTTATGTTAGATAACTGTGTCCACAATTTCTTAACCCCTTCCCATCATCGCCTCCTGACCCTTTAAGAGGTTCTAAATGCCCGGAGGCGAGCATTCTGTTCATGTGATTGCAGTGATTGGCAGTCACAGTGGTCACATGATCATAAAGCTCCCAATAACTGTGCTGGAAGCGCGCATTCTCAGCACAGAAAATCTTTACATTGCACATATGCAGCTTCTACCCTCTGAGAGGCCATATATATGCATATGCCCAGTGGGAACAGGTTAAAATAGTTGTAAACCTCAGATGTGTCATTTGAACAAAGCATATCCCTTTATACAGGCATACCTTGGTTTATGAACACATCGGTTAATGTAATTTTTGGTTTACGAATGAAAATCCATTGAAAATAATGGCTCAGTTTACAATTTATTTTTGCAATACGAACGGATTAATTGGTTTTCAAAGAGTTTTGAACAGATAAAATACTTTTTTTTTTTTTTACTATTTTCTGACTTCCAGAACAGATTAATTGGTTTTCAGTGCATTCCTATGGGAAACCGCGTTTCAGTTTACTAATTTTTCGCAATACAAAAAGTCCCGCAGAATGCATTAAATTCATAAACCGAGGTACGCCTGTAGTGTGTACTTGTCTCAATCCAAAGAACTACTGTAAGTGTTATTTCTGTCAGCATGAATCACTGATAAGTATTACTGACACCAAGAAATAAAAGGTGACAAGGGATGGATCTGAAGCACACAGCCCTTGATTGACAACCTCAGTTCTGTTCCTGTGCTGTGTGAAGGGGTGTGTGTTCCTTTCCTCCAATCAGCTCTCAGCACTCCCTTCACAGTTCATTGCAAAGTGTAGTTTCAGCTATCCCCCCCCTCCATTTTCTGAAAGCTGTGTATCACTTCACTGGGTATACGTAAGGGTTTACAAGCACCTTAAATCTGAACTACAGGCTAATCTAATATTTTCCAGCCATGCGTATTCTTACTTGGATTTGGTGTCCTATGTGTATTTCTTACAGATCTGTACATTAATTTCTTTAATAAGGACTGCCCCTGTATTATTCTGCATACAGACTGTAGTGGGAGGAGCTGCACAGGCTATCTACAGCACAGTGATGATGTCACTTTTAAGTTTACAAGCTAATATCTGGGTTTGGAAAGGTATTTGGTTTACACAAATTGACTGATGATTTATATAATACGTTGTTTTTGTTTCTGTCTGGTTTTACTGATATCTAGGGCTCCATTCAGAGCAGTATTTCCCAACTTTTTACAGTCACAGCACCCTTTTAGGGTATGCAAAATCTCAAGGCACCCCAATCTAAAATGTAAAAAGTCAGAAATGTTACTCATTAATTGGAAACCTGAGCCTTAGATGATGGACACCTCCACCCTGATGAAATGAACTTGTCTCACGCAGTCTCCCTATTATGGAGCCCCCATTCACACAGTTCCCCCATCACAGAGTCCCCCATTACAGAGTGCTCCAATCACACTGCAGCACACAGCCCTCGATTGACAGCCTCAGTTCTGTTCCTGTGCTGTGCGAAGGGGTGTGTGTTCCTTTCCTCCAATCAGCTCTCAGCGCTCCCCTTGCAGTTCATTGCTAAGTGTAGTTTCAACTATCCCCCCCCTCTCCATTTTCTGAAAGCTGTGCATCACTTCACTGGGTATATGTAAGGGATTACAAGCAGAGCCCTACCTTTTGGCTTTGTGACAAAGGTTGAGAGGTAGAGCAGGTCTGGAAGAGGCACACTTCTGTCCCCTCCTAAATGCTGGGGGAGGCCCTGCATGCCGCTTGCTCTTGATCAACATCATGCATTGCCATGGTGTGGGTAGGCTGGACGTCAACACCATAGCAATGAATGACACCATGTATCGTGGCCCTAGGGCATCATTGGTCATTATGGTGCTGTCAGCTGTCTGCCTGAACCATGGCAGTCCATGACACTGACCCAGGGCAAGCAGGGCACCCCAGTTGAGAAACACTGGTTTAGAGAGATTTCCTGTCACTTCCTGTTCTGCTGACAAAGGTCTCACCAGACCGCAAGTCAGGATAAATCTTAGCAATAGCAACTCCAATAGAAATACAAATGCTTTCATTTAGTAGAGTAGGGATGTCTATCAGAATTTATTGCTGTCTGTGACCTTGTTAAATATTTTCCCTTAGTGTTCGTTCACATATATGGGGGAGTGGATGCGGTTTGATCCGCATCCAATCTGCATGACATGTGAAATACCACTGCTTCCTATGGTGACTGTTCACATATGTCCGGCGCACGGCAGGTGCAGATTCAGTGCGGATTCAGTGCGGTTTTAAATGAGTCATGTCCGATTTCTGAGCAGTGGCTTCAGGTTTAAGTGCAGATTACAGGTTATTGATTTCTATGGGAACCGTTCCTAAACCACATATATGTGAACAAGATAAGATCCTGAGCTAATCCTGTCCTGAACCTGATGTAAACCTGATGTGAACCTGTGGACAGCTACACTATCAGTTAGCTGTGAAACCTGAGCTTCAATCCATACTGCATATGTGTGAATCAGATCTTAATTTCTTCTTTGTTAAACTCTTCTCCTGGATAGCAGTAAAACCTTACATGGAATCTAACCCTTTTCCACCCAAAAAAAAAAAATTTTGAATGTACAATTTTAAAGGCACTATTTAAAGTGTTACTAAAGGCTTGTGTTTTACTTTTTTTTAAATAACAAACATGTTATGTTTACCTGCTGTGTGCAATTGTCCTCTACTTTTCCAGTACCCCACTGGTCATCCTGGCTCCTGCCACCTGCTGAGTGCCCCCAATAACAAGCCTCTTGCTATAGGGGCACTCGAGCAGGCTTGCTCCCAAGTCACGCTCCTGTAAATGGGCATTGTCCATTCACACACAGAGTACAGCTTGACCAAGCCCCCCATTTTTTCCTCATTGGCTCACTGGCTGTGATTGCCAGCAGCAGGAGCCAATACTTTCCATTGCTGTGTGACCCAGTGAGGAGAGAGAGAGACCCGGAGAGCTGCTGCTCTCATGTACATAGCTGGATTGAGATGGGGCTCAGGTAAGTATAATGGGGGCTGCAGCCAGAAGGTTTTTTACTTTAATGCATAGAATACATTAAGATAAAAAAATCTTCTGCCTTTAGAACCACTTTAAATGTTCAATGCTTTTAAAATGCTGGTAATAAATTAATAAATATGCTAAAATGTGTGCAATGAAGGCAGCTTGTGTCATATTGCTAAAGTAGTAGAAGTCTCCTTTACTTACAAGACATTAGATCCTAGGAAATAACTTTGTGTAACATCATTTATCTACAATGTACAACTTTTATCAAAGACACTTCTACAGTTTACAAAGTGTTAGAAAGCAGCATATTGTCACAACTTTAAACCTTTTATTAAGCGTGTACTGGATCTATGCACCAGCTAATATTTACTACCCATTGTATACATACACGAGTACATAAAGTACGTAAAAAGCTAAATGGTCTCATTCTTAATGGTTGACTTCAACTTTAATTAAATATTTTATTCCAGGAGGACAAGATGGAATTATACATGTAAACAAAACATGGGTGAAAAAAAAAAACTAAGAAAATCATTTATACCCTCCGTTGACACGAATTAGAGTTCTCTGATTTATATTTGTGCCTGATTAAACTGTCAATTCTAAAGTAAGTAGGAAAAGGCTAACAGAATGAACAGCTGTGTCCTGTCCCCATAATTAAAGAACAATATTCATACATAATTAATGAGTCATAAATGTGCAAAACAAATTAGGCTCTTCTTTGATCTCATTTTCAAATAAGAATTGTATATGATACAAAATATTGAGGTACCTCTGCAGCCTGTTTCACCCAACCTTTCCTTTTCTGATGCACGCAATGGCCTACAAAGACTGACATACATGACACACAGAAATATCTATTGTACTATAGCTTTCTCCATGGATAAGCTCGAAGATAGCTTTGGCTGTATGCATCACTAGTAAATTCAAGCAGTTTCAGAAATAACTAAACAACTTACTTGCAAGCAGTCCCACTCCAGCCGCAAGTGACCCAACCCATGCAGTCTTCCCTTTTCCTTCATCAAAGACATCTAACCATTCCACGTACAAGACACCGACAGCTAATGGAGAACCATAGCACAGGAACTGAATAAAGAAGGATGCAGCAACAATGATCCAGCCCCATCCTCCATCTGGTGGCTTCTGATACATTATGAAGGCTGGCAGTCTAAAATTCTGTGATAACAAGAAAAAAAAAATCACATGGATATATATATATATATATATACACTACAAGAAAAGTAAAGTTTAGGCTTCAGTACCATTTATATGTGAAACAATAGTACTGGTAATAATAATAGTATAATTCAGTCAAGCATGGACATTTGACATTTAAGCTTGCTTAACCCCTTCACGCCTAAGGGTAAAAACAAATCTAAATGCCTAAGCACAATTCTGCACCGTTGACATGTGATAGCAAAAACCGTACATATCATCACAACTACTTTGCACATCCAGGTGGATTATACCTTGATTCTTTCAGGATAAATTGGGCCTTCATTTTGGTGGTAAATGGTAATGGATATCTCCTGATTTTTTTTTATTATCAAAGGAAAACTGGCCAAAAATAGTAAAAAAAATCCTTTTTTTTTTATTTAGCTATGTGTTTCTTGTTATGACCATAACCTACCACCAAAGAGCAACCCAAAATAAATTCTCCAGCTCTTGACGATCGCAGCGATACCATATATGTGTATGTTATTTGTTGTTTGTACCCGTAGTACAGCCCAGAAACCATAGTGCGCATTTTGTTTTTGTCTTTTTTTTTATTTTATTTTTTTACCTAAAACACACTAACACTAACTGACACTGACATTAACACTAACTGACACTGATACCAATTTTTTTTTAAATCCTGACCTTTGACCCTGACCTTTGACCTTGACCCTGACCTTTGACCTTGACCCTGACCTAAACACTAACCCTGGCACTGAACTAGATCCAACCTTGATCTAGGTATTTTTTTTTATTTTTTATTTTATTTTTTTAATATTTATTTATTTATCTTTTTTTTTTTTTTTTACAAACTTTTTTTTTTCTTCTCTCTGACAGGAGTTCGAGAGATACAATGTATCTCTCTTCTCCATTCATAGAGAGAGAGAAAAAAAAAACAAGGGGGCCGGGCTGCACAGTGACTGATCACTGTGATAGCCAATCAGAGGCTATCACAGCGATCATGTGACCCGGGACCGGGAGTCCCGGGTCCCGATCGTTAGAACGGGACCCGGTGCTCTCAGTGACACCGCGGTCTCGGTGCTGGGAGCGCGCTGAGGGGCGCGCTCCCAACACAAAGACAGGTACGCAAATATGCGGCCCCACGGAAAAAAGCCCAGGTCCGTGAGGCCGCATATTTGTGTTACGTCGGCGTCAAGGGGTTAAGACACACAGCTTTTAAACGTTAAAGCGATCCGTCAGCACCCCACTTTCAACCTTTAATTGTAAATGTCCGGTCTAAGGGGCTACAGTTCTTTTCTATGTTACCCAGAAACATCTCCCCTGTGTGTTCCTCTGATACTAGTTTCACTTTGTCACTCAGTGCTTGAATTTCTTAAATGTGGGTCTAACTTCTTGCAACCAGCTATTTCCCAGTAATTTCGGTCACTCTCGCTGGACAGGTGTACAGTGGGTGATGCTAATCCCCAATGTCAAGGAACGCAAGCTTTTTGTAACAAAGTCAAACCAAAATTAGAGAGGTGCAAAAGAAAGAATATACACTCACTGGCCACATTATTAGGTACACCTTGCTAGTACCGGGTTGGACCCACGTTTCCCTTCAGAACTGCCTTAATTATTCATGGCATAGATTTAACAAGGTTTTGGAAACATTCCTTTGAGATTTTGGTTCATATTGACATGAGTTACTGTTGCTTTTCTATCATCCCGAACCAGTCTGCCCATTCTCCTCTGACATCAACAAGGCATTTCCATCCACACAACTGACGCTCACTGGATATTTTTTCTTTTTCAGAACATTCTTTGTAAACCCTAGAGATGGTTGTGTGTGAAAATCCCAGTAGATCAGCAGCTTTTTAGATACTCAGACCAGCCCGTCTAGCACCAACAGTCATGCCACATTCAAAGTCACGTAAATCCCCTTTCTTCCCCAATCTGATGCTCAGTTTGAACTTCAGCAAGTCAACTTCACCACGACTAGATGTCTAAATACATTGAGTTGGTGCACGCGATTGGCTGATTAGCAATTTGTGTTACCAAGCAATTGAACAGGTGTACCTAATAAAGTGTCCGGTGACTGTATATCACAAATGCATATAAATAACATTTGAATGCATTATTTAGTAACTGTATTCTAGCACTTTTTTTTTTTTTAATTTCCCGGTTCAGCCCCCTGGTCTCTGGTAGCCCCGAGGTATGTTTTTTTTTATAAACTTACCTTTTCTAGGAATCTTCATGCAGGTTATGTAGTGTACTGGTTCCTCCTTCTCCTTTCCCCCTTCTTTCTCAAATGTCTCTAATGGCGAGTGGTCCTTGATGATGCAGAGTGTGCATCACTACATCACTACACTGCAAATGAAGGGTTCTGTGTTGATGCCCCACAGGGGACAGGCTTATGACATCCCACATTCACAGTACGTCCTTAATCTTCCTGGTTCAGTCTTGCTGGGCTTTTTTCAACCCAGCAGACTGAGTGTATCTTGAGGAGAAAATCAAGTACTGTAGCGGAGAGCTCCAGATTGAAGGTGAGTATTTCAGAATATTTCAGTATGAGCTATTTTAGGCAGCTAGGACTTTGGTAAATCAGTGTACTGCCTAATAATTCCCTTACCTTGTGGTAAGGGTATCCCAGGTGGTACACTGACATGTTTAGGGGTATTTCCTAAATTCACTTCAACGTGATATTAAATTGTAACATTGAAATATAACAACATTAAATTATACGGGATTAATAAAATAAATTACATGGGAATAAAAAAAATAAATAAATAAAATGTGTATATAAACCTAAAACCAAAAATGTAATATATTGCAGTTTACCATTACTTAGATTTGATGGCTGTTTTTTTTTTTTTCCAGCCCTTTTTATTTTTATTTGGCAATCTAGTGAATAACAGACTTTTACCTCTTTGTGCCTTTACTATTTTTTATGGCATCTATTGACGGAGGCAAGCTGGACTTCAATTCTAACATGTCTCCATTGGATGGTGGATTGATAGGGTTAGTAGCTCTCACAAGAAAAAATAAGAAGGTTTCTTTTCAGCTTACAGAACATGACAAGGACACTGCATTCCTGACAAGATCAGCAGGTATTGTCTGAAGGTATTTTCTGCTGAAAATGTTTTTAGACTGGAAAATGAAAATGAATGCAGCCTCAGATCTGGTAAACTTAAATATTTTACACTTTTTATTAGATTTGGATATGCTTTAAAAGAAACCTGTACAAGAAACAATATAGAGGATGACCCTGCGTATCTCCTGGGGGGAGATGAGGGGACTTAACTCTGAGCTCACTAACATAATGAATGTTCAAGCTGAATGACTCAAGATATTAATAAGGCCATTGGATTATCATGGCAGCAAAGCAACTATTATTTTCAGGAGGGCAACAGAATTGGTCAATTCCATTCCCTTTCCATTAAAAATAATTATCAGTACAGGCAAAACATGTACACACATTAAGGGGTTACTTGACATAATGTGACTCATACTGGGAGCACTGGCCCTGAAGATGTACTCAGTGTAATCAAGCTGATAAACATTGGCCTAGCACAGCTAGCAACTCTAGTACTAGATAAAGAAAACATTTACTTCCTTTCACCTACACATTTATAACCTTTTCATTTCACTACATTCTTCCATTAACAATAAAAAAAATACTATAAAGTAACTTTCCAACAAAAAACATGACCACCTACAGGAAATGAAATGTTAATTAGGTAAATCGGATGTCCTTCAATGAAATCTACAAAGAGAGAATATATGGTACCAAATAACAGTACTTTCTGCTATGATTTGCCTTTTAAACACTCGCTCAAAAAAACGTTGTTTTTTATAAATCAGACTTTTTGATATTTAATATATTTCCAAATATGATATCTCAAAACTTCCATATTTTAAGGACAAATATGAAGCTGTCACTTACAGATACTGATTTGGATGTCTTTGGTATTCTGAATATTTTCAGAGATCATCATTTAGATCTGTCAAAAGAGGAGAAGGCAGTGAGAACTATGGGACTGTAGGCAATATTCTATATTCTATACATTAAAGACCACAACTCTTTTTGTTTTGGTGCTAACTTGGCCACGGCAGTTTTATTATTGGTTTAAAAATCATTCTTTATAATAACACTTTATTTTTACATATTAGCTTACTAATAATTGTAAAACATTTTTACTTAAATTAATCTTACTCAAAAACTCCAGCTTAGTCACTACGACTCAAGCTGTACTTATTAACACAACACTTATCAACCATACTCATTAACCATACAACTTTTTTCAATTTACATACTTATGTATTTTACCATCATTAAATATGATACTTACCAATAATAATTGGCCATGACGAAAAGGGGCAGGTGGGAGGGAGCACCACAGAGATGCCTCCCAGATTTCTGATTTTTTCCATTAACGGACCCCCCTTTTATAGCCCTCTCCTATCTCCAATTCTTCTGCCTATTGGTCACTTTTTTTCTTCCAGGATTGTCCAGGTGTAGTGGGGGGCTAAAAACTCCCAATTCTAGAATCTTCCCCATTATATAATATACCCTGGGGGGGGGCTTAAAACTTCACAGGTGTAGTGGGGGGCTTAAAACTCCTTTTTTCTAGAAGCTTCTCCATTATATTAGTATATCATGGGGGAACTTGAAACTTTAACAGTTTTTTCTCCTCCTCACACCAGTGGGGGGACTAAAAACCCTTCTGACCTTCTAGAATGTTCCCCCACTGTATTTATACAGTGGGGGGACTTGAAACCTTATTTCCCTGCTACAGTCCCATAACAAAACGGGGGGCCCTATTTATTCCCTCTCTCTTTTCCTATGCAGAATTGCATGCCATGCTTGCCCACATGTTCTGGATCATGGCTGTGGGCAGTGCTGGATTTAGAATTTGGGGGGACCAGGCAGTGGCATCCCGAGGCAGGTGCGGGGGGGTGCGGTCTGCACCGGGTGACACCGACCGAATGGGGTGACA